AAACATCATTATGACCATTAACTATGTTGTTTCTTTTGTCTAAACCTTAGTTTTGTAATCCTTATCAAAAACCACATGAAGTTGAGTCAACCTCTTGCCGAAAACCCGAACTGGCCCCCTAATTGGATGACGTCGCCCATACAACATATCATGGAAAACTAACTGGTACAATTCGGCGCATGCTTCACCTCACCCACACTGGTCTAAGTACCCTTCAAGGATCCTGTGAATTCTAAGGCAAAAGAGCCAGGGACATTTGGTACGATTGGATATGGGCTACGTTATTTATAACGGTCCAAGATCCATTCACCAATTTGAAGATGAATGTTGTAAATATTAAAAGATAAGTAATAGGAAAAATACTCTTTTTCGTCCTGTATATTATACTCAGGGTTCATTTTGGTCCCTTAACTTAATAGATAAATAATAGGCAAAATACTCTTTTTCACCCCGTATATTGTACCCATGGATCATTTTGATCCCTTAACTTAAAATAAATACCATTTGAGTCTCTTAATTATACAAACTGAACCACGTTAGTCCTTTCCATCAGTTTTGTTAGTCAAAGTCAACCATTCAAGTTATGTGGCACTGAAGTGGTATGCCACGTGACTTAGATCAAATTTGCGATGACTTAGCGACGGTAAATTTCATCACTTAAATAGTTTATGGGATCTAATTATTGATCTTCATCTTCATCCTCAAAATCAGAAAATCCAAAACTCATAAAATTAAATTAAAAAAACCAAGTTGTTTATCATATTCTTAACAACTAGAACAAACCAAGAAAAACCAAAACTCACAAAATGCATTCCAATCCACCACCCTCTTTAGCATTAAAATTAACATCAACATCATCACCAATACATTAACCTTAACAATACCATCTGCCTCATCATAACAAACTCGCCGGTAAACACAAAAAAATAACATAATCATAAAAAAAACTATGTTAACACAATCCCTGATTTCACCACCTACAATTCCCAACCTTCGAGATCCAAATCGAAATCATCCATAGTCGAATACACAAACAAAATATGATAATGCTAAATTTCATATAAATACAATAAATAACCAGAAATTAATATGAAAAAGCGTTACCATTAAAATGCAAAGCTTCAGTGTAAACCAACATTGCATTTTGTACCACGAAGTAGAAAACGAAGGCAATGAAAGAAGAAAAAAACAAAATGGAAGAAAGTGCGTAAGAGATCCATTTTCAGAATGAGTAGAGAACAAAAGAGAGTAAACATAGGAAAGCCATTGATCTCACATAGAAAGTGCGTTAGAGTCAATATCCATTTTTTCAACTTCCTCTTCAGCGGCACGTTCGTTAAAAACCTGTGAGAATTTCAATTCCAACAGTTGCAAAGATACGAGACTGTTCATTTTTTAATCATTGTTGGTAACCATATATGCATATATATGCAAAGATACTTCACAACCAATGTTAACACAAAGTTTGAGGATGAAAGGAAAAATGTAGTGAGGAAGCTTGCAACCAAATCTGCTTAGTGTGGCCGGCGTAAACCCATCTTTTCTCTTACCGAAAATCAAACAAGGAATGGGAAAGAGAAAGTTTCTCTCTGTAGCAACCAGCGAGAAGTAAGAAGAGAAAGACGAATCTGAGAATAACCGTAAGACATTTATATGAACAAAACCAAAAGGGTCCGAACTTGTTAGCTTCTGAACTTTCTTCAGAAGATTTACTACCACCAAAAGCTCCACCTTAGTTAGCTTCTGCACCTTGTTCAGAACCACTACCTTCAGAAATACCATCTTCAAAAGTTGGATCACCTTCAGAAGCTATGCCTTTAGAAGTTCCACTTTCAGAATCATGATCATCGTCAAAAACTGGATTACCTTTAGAATCTCCTCCTCTAGAAGGTCCACCTTCAGAGACACGATTTCCACCAGAAACATGATCATCTTTAGAAGCTTGTCCTCCAGAACCTATGTCTTTAGAGTTTTCTCTTCTAGAAGCATGACCACCACCAAATTCAAAATCTGGATCAGAATCAGATTCACCATCCGACTCATCTTTAGAGTCTCTAGAAGATTCTTCATCCTCTGACTCTGAATCACTTTCAGAACTTTCAAGTTCTGACTCATCTTTAGAAGCAGGATCTTTTTCAAATTCTGACTCATCTTCTGATTCTTCTTCAGACTCAGAATCACCTTCAGATTCTGACTTGTCTTCAGCTTCAGAGTCATCTTCTAACTCTGACTCATCTTCAGAAACCTCAGATTCTGACTCATGTTCAGAATCTTCGGCATCATCTTCTGATTCTGACTCATACTCAAACACTCTTTCAGAGTCAGAATATTCAGAATCATCTTCTTTCCTTTCAGAATCAGAAAATGACAATCTCACAGGTTCCTCATCAGATTCATAAGCCATTAATAGCATAAGTTCATCATCTGAATCTCCTCTGGCTATTTTTTCTTCTTCTTTGTTTGATCAAGAATCTTTAGCAAAATGGCCAAACCTATTACAGCATTAACATTGAACCATTTTATTGTCATACCTCTCCTTTCCCTTCTGATGTTTCTTCTCATCAAAAGTGGAGGTTTTTGACTTCTGGAATCTATCACCACGTCTATTCTTGGTTTCTGACCAAGAATGCTTCTGGTCTTTCTTGACAAAAGAAGCCTTTAGAGTCTGCTCAACTTTCCTCTCAGAAGTTCTTTCAGTCAAACGCAACTCTTGCGCCTCTAGACTGCTTTGCAGCTCCTCTATTATCATGGTTTCCAGATCTTTAGAATGTTCAATTGCTACAAGAATGTAATCAAATTGAGGAGTAAGAGACCTTAATATCTTCTCAATGATTACTTGTTCATAAAAGGTTTCTCCACAAGCTTTCATCTCATTAGTGATCATAATCACTCTAGATATATACTCAGAAACCTTCTCGTTGTCCTTCATGTTGAGATTCTCATATTGCTTTCTTAGGGATTGAAGCTTCATCTTGTTCACTGATGCGTCACCCTCGTATCACCTACTCAGTGTGTCCCACGCAGCCTTTGCCGTTGTTGAATCAACAATTTTCTCAAACACATTCTCATCCATACACTGATGGATGAAGAACAACACCTTCTGATCTTTCTTCCTTGTATCTCTATGCATATTTCTTTGTTCCTCTGTCGCATCTGCTGCAACTAGAATATCACCATTTGTAACAATGATCAAGAACATCCCGAGCACCAAATAGAACACACATCTGAATTATCCAACAATTTCAGTTTTTGCCATTAAACACTGGAAGCTTGGTTCTTAGACTGCCATTTCCGGTCATCTTCAACCTTGTACAAAACACTCAGATCTCACAAACACAGTATTTCTCAATCCCATAAAATTAGAAAAATATGTTTCTGTTCAGATTTTGTTCAACGATTCAACACGAACCTTGAACCAAAATCAATCACACAAACGCCTCAGCGTTTCACTCGTGTTTCCCTGTGAATCTAATCAGAGCTCTAGATACCAATTGTTGGTGCACATGGTTAATAAATGAAGAAAAGGTAAGAGAGAATATATTTACTGCAATGACGGATATAAATCTTACAAAAGAATGATTGTTATTATAAATGGCAGCTACCACTAGTCTATTTATACACAAAGTAAATTTTCACATAAACCCTAACAAAAGTAAACTTAATGACTAAGTTAAAAGGTACAAACTAGGAAATACTAAACTTAACAGCAATGTAAAAAAATAAACAAGAACCCCATAACCCAGAAGCTAAGCATACTTCTGGACGCAACATCAAAAGCTTATGCTTCTGACTAATAACAACTTCTAATGATATCAAACTACTGCTTCTAACTAAGCAGTCTCAGAAGCTTATGACTTCTGGCTAACGACCTTAGAAGTTGTACTGCTTCTGAATAATAACATCTTCTGAATATGAATTACTTCCAACAAGTATGATAGTTTTTTAAAACTATGATTGTCGGTGAAGACAATATGAAAATTCTTGGAGTAGTGTAGCTTCAAGTGACTATACTCTTTATAGTGGTATGATTGTTGGTGAAGATAATGAAAGCTTATGTATTATTTTCAATCAAGGTGGAGATTATTGGAGTTGGTTGAAAATATACATGTTGAAGAAGTCTCACATCGCTTATTTTTGTAAAAGAAGAGGGAGTCCAAGACTATATATAGAATTAAAGTTTTTCCAAATCCCACATTGCTTAGTTTAGTGATAGAAGAGAGAATCTAAGGCTATATATAGGATTCAAGTTTTTCTTTACAAGATGTACCAATCAAAAATACTTTGAGCATGTATTTGATTTTTTATTTTCTCTTATATTCTTGTTTTAGAGTGTAGTGAGAGGTAGTTAAATATTTCTTTTGGAGAGTGTTGGTGTATTGGAGTCTTAGGGTGTTTGAGGGTAGTCTATATGTTGTAACAATTCTCACATAGTGATATTCTCTGGTTGTCATTTGACAACGGTCGTGGTTTTTTCTCCGATTTTGGAGTTTTCACGTTAGTCTCTTGTGTTATTATTTTGTTCCTCTTTTTTCTCTATGGTCTTTTTTTCCCCAACAAACTATAAATTCTATTTTAGCGACAATTCTTTTCGTCACTTAATTGGTTACAAAAGATGAGTTTTACACGTCACTTACCACCTCAGCAAAATTTAACTTTGTAACTGATATTTGGACGGAAAGACTAACACGATACATTTTAAAAAATTAAGAGACTAAAATAGTCTTTTTTTTAATTAAAAGACCAAAATAAATCCTAAATACAAGATACGAGACGAAAAATAGTATTTTACCTAAATAATAACATTTATAGTTATTTTACCAAATTATTATGATACCCATTATATAAATTCATTATATTCGAGTATCGTAAATCACAACTTACAATCTAAATATTTTATAAGAATTTTTTTTTGACAAAAAAATATTTTATAAGACTTTTCTACAATTCTATAAGACTTATAAACCCTTAGGAATTACAATTGCTGCAATTTTATTTCATAGGCTTGCTGGGGCAACATTGCTGACTCCAGGGATAAACTACTGGTGGCATGGACTTCCTTACAACATGTCCACAAAGGCCTATCATGAGAAACTTTCACGAGACCAATGGGCACTTCGAGTTGCTCATTATGTTCCATGGCTTACATACTGGTGGTTTACTCAAAACTGGTTTCCTACTTCAAGTGCCGTACATGTCATGTTAAAATTGTTTTTTCTTTTATGTTAATTTACTGTCAGTTAGAATAAGCAATGTTAGTGCTGTTAGTGAGTTATTGCTTTTACCTATTCTCTTGCCACTATCCCACATTTTTAGTGTTTGTTAGAGTGGGCTATTTTTTCTCTGATTCAGTTTCTGTAAGGCTATTAAAGAGCCATTTCTTTTATTCAATTCAATAAGAAATATACTCCCTATTATTTTGTAAACACGTATCCTTTACAATTGGTATCAGAGCTCCTCTAGAAGGGGCCTGATCAATACTTGAAACGCAGCAGTCTTTTCAAGCAGATGGCAGAAAACAGCAGTTTTGTTCAACCATCCATTCCAAAGTTTGATGGTCACTATGATCATTGGGCAATGCTCATGGAGAACTTCCTTCGATCCAAGGAATACTGGAGCTTGGTTGAAAATGGGATCCCTACAGCAGTTGGGGGTGCAGAATCAACTGAGGCACAAAGAAAAACTGTTGAAGATCAAAAACTCAAGGATTTAAAGGTAAAGAATTATCTTTTTCAAGCAATTGATAGATCTATCTTGGAGACAATCTTGAAGAAAGAAACGTCAAAGAACATTTGGGACTCAATGAAGCAGAAGTATCAAGGGACGGCAAGGGTTAAACGAGCACAACTACAAGCACTTCGAAGGGAATTTGAAATCTTGCAGATGAAAGCTGGAGAATCGGTGAACGAGTACTTTTCTCGAACCCTCACCATAGCCAACAAGATGAGAACCCATGGAGAGACTATGGGAGATGTTACTGTTATTGAAAAAATTTTGCGGTCCATGACTCCAAAATTCAACTATGTTGTTTGCTCTATTGAGGAGTCAAATGACATTGACGCCTTATCAGTCGACCAACTACAAAGTAGCTTGCTGGTGCATGAGCAACGCATGAATGTTCCTGTTATTGAAGAGCAAGCCTTGAAAGTAACCTATGAAAACAGATCAAGAGGTCGCGGTCGTGGTCGTGGAGGATTTCGCGGACGAGGTGGAGGAAGGGGCATGTCAAATTTTGACAAGTCCACTGTGGAGTGTTATTATTGCCATAAACTTGGTCATTTTCAATATGAATGTCCAAGCAAGGAGAGTGAAGTCAATTATGCAGAATTTCAAGAAGAAATGCTTTTGATGGCATCCGTGGAAAGTAAAGAATCAGATAAGGAAGAAGCATGGTTCATTGACTCAGGGTGTAGTAATCATATGTGTGGTAAGAAGGATGTATTCTCTGATTTGGATGAAAATTTTAGTGAAACTGTGAAGTTAGGAAACAATTCCAGCATGGCTGTGAAAGGAAAGGGAAATGTGAGATTTCAATTGAATGGAATCTCACATATCATTACTAGTGTGTTCTATGTTCCTGAGCTAAAGAACAACTTGTTGAGCATTGGTCAGCTACAAGAAAAGGGGCTAACTATCATTTTTCAACATGGAAAATGCAAGATCTATCATAAGGAGAAAGGCTTGATCATGGAAACTATAATGTCCTCAAACAGAATGTTCATTTTGCCGGTTAAGCCTCAGTCAAGTGTATCGGCTTGTTTCAACACAATTACTGAAGACTCAACTCAGTTATGGCACTGTAGATTTGGACATTTAGGCTTTAAAGGCTTAAGGATTCTTGAGCAAAAAGGGATGGTGAATGGTCTTCCACAACTCAAAACTCCCTCTAAAATTTGTAAAGACTGCCTTGCGGGAAAGCAACAGAGGGATCCATTTCCTAAAGTGAGCACGTGGAGAGCATCTCAAATCCTACAGTTGATACATGCTGACATATGCGGGCCTATTACACCAGCCTCAAATAGCAAAAAGAGGTACCTAATTACTTTCATTGATGACTATAGTCGTAAAACATGGGTATATTTTTTAGTAGAAAAATCTGAAGCTTTTGACACTTTTAGAAGCTTTAAAAATCACGTGGAGAAAGAAACAAATATATTCATCAAATGCTTGCGTACTGACAGGGGTGGTGAATTTACATCACAAGAATTTAATGACTTTTGCAAGGATAATGGTATAAATAGGCAACTGACGGCTGCATATACACCACAGCAAAACGGTGTAGCCGAGAGGAAAAACAAAACCATTATGAACATGGTTCGTTGCATGCTGTATGAGAAACAAGTTCCAAGGAATTTTTGGCCCGAGGCTGTAAATTGGACTGTTCATGTGCTGAACCGATGTCCAACGGTTGCTGTGAAAAACAAGACTCCTGAAGAAGCTTGGAGTGATGTAAAGCCATCAGTTGAGTACTTTAGAGTCTTTGGATGTGTTTCGCATGTCCACATACCCGACAGAAAAAGAACAAAGCTAGACAGAAAAAGTACTAGTTGTGTTCTACTTGGAGTAAGTGAAGAATCAAAGGCATACAGGTTGTACGATCCAATTTCTCGTAAGATTATTGTTAGTAGAGATGTCGTTTTTGAAGAAGATAAAAGTTGGGACTGGAACAAAAGACATGAGGAAAACATCAAAGAAAATTTAGAATGGGAAGATGAACAAGATGAATCTGCCACTGCTGCAAGTGCAGAAAATGATACAAGCATCAATGAAGAAATACAAGGAGAACTTGATCACTCTGATTCAAACGAGTCAATTGAAGAGAGTCGGCAAGATTCAAATAGAAGAATAATACGACAACCTGTATGGATGAGGGATTATGAAAGTGGAGAAGGACTGTCAGAAGAAGAAGAAAACATGACTAACATGGCCATGTTTGCAGGTGCTGACCCAATTTCATTTGAAGAAGCTGTGAAGAGTGAAAAATGGAGAAATGCCATGAATTTGGAATTAGAATCAATAGAGAAGAATGACACTTGGGAGTTGACAAATTTACCGGTTGGTGGAAAGAAAATTGGAGTGAAATGGATATTCAAAACAAAGCTTAATGAGAATGGAGAAATAGACAAACACAAAGCGCGACTTGTAGCAAAAGGATATGCTCAAAAATATGGAGTTGATTATAATGAAGTCTTTGCACCGGTGGCAAGATTAGATACCATTCGACTAGTGCTTGCACTTGCTGCTCAAAGGGGATGGACCGTTTATCAGTTGGATGTAAAGTCGGCATTCTTGCACGGTGTACTAAATGAAGAAGTTTTTGTGGAACAGCCTTGCGGATATGAAATCAAGGGCAATGAGCATAAGGTGTACAAGTTAAAGAAAGCACTTTATGGACTGAAGCAAGCTCCACGAGCTTGGTACAGTCGCATAGAATCATATTTTTTGAAGGAAGGCTTTGAAAAATGCACTCATGAACACACTTTGTTTGTTAAGACAAGTGCTGGAGGTAAAATTCTAATTGTAAGCTTGTATGTTGATGATTTGATATTCACTGGCAATGATGAGTCAATGTATGTTGAATTCAAAAAATCCATGATGGTTGAGTTTGATATGACCGATTTGGGAAAAATGAGGTATTTTTTAGGTGTTGAAGTAATGCAAAAGAGTGAGGGCATATTCATTAGTCAAAAAAAATATGTGATGGAAGTATTGGAAAGATTTGGAATGGACAAAAGTAATTATGTTCTAAATCCAATGGTTCCTGGAGAGAAGCTTCAAAAGGATCAAGATGGCATGAAGATTGATAGTACTTACTACAAGCAGATTGTAGGAAGTCTTATGTACTTAACGGCAACTCGACCGGATGTTATGTTTGCTGTTAGTCTCATAAGTAGATACATGGAGCATCCTACTAAACTACATTTGCAAGCAGCAACGAAAATCTTAAGATACTTAAGAGGGACAGCTGATTATGGTGTGTTTTACAAGAAGGGCGGAAATGAAGAATTAGTCGCGTACACGGATAGTGACTATGCGGGTGACTTGGATGATAGAAAAAGCACGTCGGGATATGTGTTTCTATTGAGCTCTGCTGCAATATCTTGGTTATCTAAAAAACAGCCTGTAGTATCTTTGTCTACTACAGAAGCAGAATTTATTGCTGCATCTACTTGTGCTTGTCAGGCTGTTTGGTTGAGAAAGATTTTGGAGAAGCTTGGACATACTCAAAACAGCTCAACAACTGTTTACTGCGACAGCAACTCAGCAATCAAGCTTGCTAAAAATCCTGTAATGCACGGTCGTAGCAAACATATCGATGTTCGATTCCATTTTCTTCGTGAACTCGCAAAGGATGGAACTATAGAACTAGTTCACTGCAATACTCAAGAACAAGTGGCCGATGTGATGACAAAGCCTTTGAAACTTGATGCTTTTGTGAAATTGCGCAACTTATTGGGAGTGTGTCAACCGCCAATAGTAAACTGATTGTTAAGTAACATTCAGTTTAAGGGAGGATGTTAAAATTGTTTTTTCTTTTATGTTAATTTACTGTCAGTTAGAATAAGCAATGTTAGTGCTGTTAGTGAGTTATTGCTTTTACCTATTCTCTTGCCACTATCCCACATTTTTAGTGTTTGTTAGAGTGGGCTATTTTTTCTCTGATTCAGTTTCTGTAAGGCTATTAAAGAGCCATTTCTTTTATTCAATTCAATAAGAAATATACTCCCTATTATTTTGTAAACACGTATCCTTTACATGTCAATCCTGCTGTTCTTTCTCCCCAAGATTTATCTATTGTTTCCAAATTTGTTAAAAAAGAACATCGAGTATGGATAAGAACATCGAGTTTCCAAATAGTTTGAAACTTGGGATTTTGATCCACTTGATCTTCATAACCCTTTCCCGGATAATACAACCCAAGTTCATCTATGGCAAGGTGCTGATGATCTCATTGTCCCTGCTATGCTGCAACGATATATTGCTCAAAAACTTCCATGGATTCAATACCATGAATTACCAGGTGCTGGACACTTGTTCCCATTTATCGAAGAAGTGAGTGTAGCTATCATCAAAACACAATTAATGGATACAGAATAGTAAACTTTGAAGCAAACATGTATTAAAGTTCAACTTAAGACGTCAACCTATTTAGTGTTCAACAATCTTATAGTACTACTGTGCCATTAGTTACAAAGTGAAGGGGAAGAATGTCTAAGCCATTTGTTATACAAAACATGTTGTTCCTGCCTGAATCGAGGGGTGTATCGAGGGGTGTATTGAGTCCATAAAAAAAATTAAACAAAAAATCTCGAGAAAGCTAGGAAAAAGTGTGAATAATGATGATCAAGAACCTTATATTTATATGCTTATTTGCATGAACTGTCTAGAATGTTGTTATTATTATTATTGAAATGCACTCAATGGTTATTAGTATTTTTCTTTTCTTTGTTTTTGTTGTTTTAAGGAAGTTGTTAATTGGGTTTTGTATAAGGTAGCGTTGCTTTGGTCTCAAATTTTTCTCAAGAGAAATAGTTATAAAATATATTATTTTCTACAATGATAAGCTATTGCTTTGTTAGTATCTTATTCTATGTTATGGCTTAATGTTATGTCATTACTTTTCCTTCATTGCTTACATGTTTCTATTAGAGGGTAATTTAGTATTTGTCATATGTAGGATATTCTCTTTAGGCCCTATGTGGCATTCTTATCTTTGTTCTTTTTGTGTATAAATAGGTGTACTAGGTTTACATTTATTACAATCAATTTCCTTCAATCATTAGTGGCAGCTTTTAGCATTTATTCCTTTTCTCTCTTCTTCCTCAATTTCATCACCTTGCACTAACAAATTGGTATCTAAAGCTCTTGGTTTATTCTGAAATTCTGGGAAACACGAGTGATACTGAGCTGTGTGTTTGATTTTTGAATCTTGAACAAAAATCTGAAACAGAATCACATTGATTCTGTGGATTTGGGAAACACTGAGTGAGAAATCTGAGATCTGAGTTTTTTGTGCAAGGTTTAAGATGAATGGAGGCAGTAGTTTGAACACTAAACTTCCAGTTTTTGATGGCAAAAACTGGAACAGATGGAAGATACAAATGCGTGTGTTGTTTGGTGCTCAGGATGTTCTGGATCTTGTTTCTGAAGGTTATGTTCCAGTTGCAGCAGATGCTACTGAAGAACAAAAATCAGAAGAAAGAGCTGTGAGGAAGAGGGATCAGAAAGCTCTGTTCTTTATCCATCAGTGTGTGGATGAAAATGTGTTTGAGAAGGTTGTTGATTCGACGACGTTGAAAGGGGCATGGGATATACTGACCAGATGTTATGGTGGTGATGTATCAGTAAAGAAGGTAAAGCTTCAGTCCCTGCGAAAACAATATGAAAATCTCAGCATGAAGAACAGTGAGAAAGTTTCTGAGTACATCTCCAGAATGATTCTGATCACTAATGAGATGAAGGCTTGTGGAGAAACACTTTCTGAACAGGTAATCATAGAAAAGATTCTGAGGTCACTTGCTCCTCAGTTTGATTACATTGTTGTTTCAATTGAACATTCTAAAAATCTGGAAATCATGAGAATAGAAGAGTTGCAAAGCAGTCTAGAAGCGCAAGAGTTGCGTCTGACTGAAAGAACTTCTGAGAGGGAAGTGGAGCAAGCTCTGAAAGCTTCTTTTATCAAGAAGGACCAGAAGCAGAATAGACATGGTGATAAATTCCAGAAGTCAGAAACCTCAACTTCTGATGAAAAGAAATATCAGAAGGGAAAGGAAAGGTATGACAAGAAGAAGGTTCAATGTTACTACTGTAAACAGTTTGGCCATTTTGCCAGAGACTGTAGAAACAGAGGAAGGAAATCAGAAGAAGCAAATATAGCCAGAGAAGATTCTGATGATGAACCTGTGCTACTGATGGCTTCTGATTCTGATGGAAATTGTTCAGAAGATTGGTGGTATATGGACACTAACTGTTCAAACCACTTGACTGGGAACAAACAATGGCCGATAGACTTTGACTCCAGAAGGAGAACAAAGATCAGATGTGCTGATGATAAGTACCTTAATACAGAAGGTATGGGAAATGTTAGAGTCAGAGTGAAGAATGGAAAAAACATTATGATCAAAGATGTTTGGTATGTTCCTGGAATTAAAAGCAATCTGATGAGTGTGGGTCAGCTTATTGAGAAAGGTTTTTCAGTGGTTATGAAGGACAACCTCTTGACGTTGTATGATTCTAATCAGAAGTTGATTATGAAGTCTGAGCAAGGAAGCAATAGAACATTCAAGGTGAATGTAGAAACTTCTGAAGCGGAGTGTCTTAGTGCAGAAGGCGCTGAAGTTGACAGTAAACTGTGGCACAAGAGGTTGGGGCACTTGAACTATAGAAGCTTGGGGCATCTAAGTTCTAAGAAGCTCGTACATGGCATTTCGAAGATTGTGAAGCCTCAGAAGTCATGTGAGATATGCATGAAAGGCAAGCAACCCAGATTGCCATTTGCATCAGAAGTAGCCCCCAGAGCAAAGCATGCTCTGGGAGTAGTACATTCTGATGTGTGTGGACCATTTCCAGTACCTTCACTTGGAGGAAACAAATATTTTGTGTCTTTTATGGATGAGTTCACAAGAATGACATGGGTAACACTCATCAAGTTTAAACATGAAGTGTTTACTGAGTTCCAGAAGTTCAAGGTGAAGGCTGAGAAGCAGGGTGGTCAGAAGCTGAAGATTTTGAGAACAGATGGTGGAGGTGAGTATAACTCTACAGAGTTCCATAAGTTCTGTGAGGAGAATGGAATAGAACATGAGGTTACTACTCCATATACTCCTCAGCACAACGGTCTTGTTGAAAGAAGAAACAAAACTTTGCTTGATATAACCAGAAGTATGCTGAAAGAGAAGAAGTTACCTCACATGTTATGGGGAGAAGTTGTTGCCACATCAGTATATGTTCTGAATAGGTGTCCAACAAAGAAGCTGAAGGAAATTGTTCTTTTAGAAAAATGGACTGTAGACAAGCAAAGTGTTAGCCATCTAAAAGTGTTTGGTTCTGTATGCTACAAACACGTTCCAGATGCTAGAAGATGAAAACTGGATGATAGAAGCAAAACAATGTTACTGGTGGGGTACCACAGTACAAGTGCCTATAAGCTTTATTGTCCAGAAACCAACAAAGTTGAAATCAGCAGAGACGTCATTGTGAAAGAGTCAGAAACATGGGATTGGAACAAGCTTTAATCAGATTCTGGTGTAGTGCCAATACCAGGGTTAGTTTCTGAAGATCCTTCAGAAATTTCTGAAGATGAGTCAGAGTCAGAAGATGAAGACTCTGAAGATGAGTCAGAATCTCAGGGAGATTCTGATAGTGGATCTGATTCTGATCCAGATTGTGATGATGATCCAGAATCTGGTGGTGATTATACTTCTGGAAGGGAAAACTCTGAAGACATGGGGTATGGAGAACAAGTTTCCAGAAGTAACTCTGAAGGTGGTAATTCTGAAGGAAATAATTTTGGACAAAGTCTAGAAGCCAGCACAATTCCGAGTTCTGGAGAAGGTTCATAACAAGATCAGAGGCCACAGAGAATCAGACGAATACCAAGTAGGTTTGCAGATTTTAGCATGTTGCATGATACTGAAGTAGATTCTGAAGGAGAAATCGTTCAGTGTGCCATGCTAGTAGATTCTGAACCAGTGGGTATTGAAGAATCGCTCAAGAAGAAAGTATGGTTGAATGCCATGAAAGAAGAACTTGAGGCTATTGAAAGAAATAAGACTTGGAAGCTGACAGAACTTCCAAAAGGCAAGAAAGCCATTAGCGTCAGATGGGTTTTCAAGCAGAAGCTAAAGCCAGATGGATCAATTGGCAAACACAAAGCGAGACTAGTGGCCAGAGGTTTTCTTCAGAAACCTGGACTAGATTACTTTGAGGTGTTTGTGCTTGTAGCTAGACACGAAACAATCAGACTGGTGATTGCTTTAGCTGCAAACAGAAAATGGCCTTTGATACATCTGGATGTGAAGTCTGCATTTCTGAAAGGTTCATTACAAGAAGAAGTTTATGTGTCACAACCTCCTGGATTTGTGAAAAAGAATCAGGAAGGGATGGTATACAGGTTAAATAAAGCTCTGTATGGACTGAAGCAAGCGCCCAGAGCTTGGAATTTGAAGATTGATTCGTTTTTCAAGGAACAAGGTTTTCAGAAGTGTGATATGGAGTATGGTGTTTATGTTCAGCATACTTCAGAAGGTAATATGATTCTGGTCTGTTTGTATGTTGATGACATATTACTCACAGGAAGTTCTGAACAAGAAACAATTGAGTTCAAGAAAGTTATGATGAATGCGTTTGAGATGACAGATCTTGGAAAATGAGTTTCTTTCTAGGAATGGAATTTATATACTCTGAGAAAGGAATCATCTTACATCAGAAGAAGTATGAACTGGAGCTTCTGAAGAGATTTGAGCTAGCAAATTGCAAGGTTGCTATCACACCTGCTGATACAAATCAGAAGTTGGATTCTGATTCTGATGGAGAGGATGTGGATGCTACAACCTTCAAACAGATGGTTGGTTCTCTGAGGTATTTGTGTAATACCAGACCTGATATTTGCTATGCAGTTGGGATGGTCGGCAGATACATGAGCGAACCAAAGTGGTCTTATTACTGAGCTGCTGTCAGGATTCTGAGGTATGTAAAAGGAACTCTGAAATATGGAGTGTTATTTCCTTCTGGAGGAAAGAGCAAATCAGAACTTCTGAGTTATTCTGATTCTGATTGGTGTGGAGATAGAGTTGACAGAAGAAGTACTTCTGGGTACTTGTTCAAATTTCTGGGAGGTCCAATTTCTTGGAGTTCCAAGAAACAACCTGTTGTGGCTTTGTCAATATGTGAAGCTGAATACATTGTCGGTGTTGTAGCTGCTTGTCAAGTAGTTTGGCTTCTAAATCTGCTGCATGATCTGAAGGTTGAAGTTGAGGAACCTCTGAAGCTGATGATTGATAATAAGTCTGCAATTAATCTTGCAAAGAATCCAGTGCTACATGGAAGAAGCAAGCACATTGAGACGAAGTATCACTTTCTCAGAAGTCAAGTGCATA